CACGGAAGATCTGAACTGATTTTATTCTATATATATTTTGTATTGTCTATATAAAATAGGAGTGCTTTTAGAGATAAGATTAGTTAGTAGTACTAATCAAAACGTGTTTTTTGCAGAATAATTTCGGAAGAGAAGTGAAGAAGACGTTCTAAAGGAATCATGGATTTATATAGGATTTTACAAAGTTGCTTGTAATCGGTTTTTATTGTGTTTTAGTGTATTATTTTATTATTTTATGTTACAAATCCCATCCCATCCCCTCCAAAATAAACGGAAGTAAAGTAAATCAGTACATTAAATATCAACCAATTCCCATCCTATAAAAAAGGAAAAGCAACGAAAATTAATGGTTTAATACAAATAAGATATCACCAATTAAGAGCAATGAAATCTTATCCTAAAAAGGAGTGAAAATTGGGGCAATCAAAGCGGGAAATGAAAAAGTTTCGAAAAAATTGACCAAAAATAAAATCAAAGCGGGAAATTGAAGCGGGAAATGAAAAAGAATTTTTTTCAAGTTTTTCAAATATTTTTTCTTAACTGTATTTTATAGTAATAGATTTATTTATTTTTATTTGCAGGGATACGGTGAAATATCTAGAGAAAATTAAGGAGGCTGTAATGAAAAGGGCTTGTAAATTTAGGGCTATAATTTATGATGAATAACATTAACATGATTAATTGATATCATGCATGTAATAATAATTAAGTCCATTATTTTGCAACTACGTACGTACGACATAACAAGTTATAAACTAACAAATTAACAATTTACAACTATCAAAGCTAGTTTATTTGTAATTTTTTTAAATAAAATTTCGATTTGTATGTGGATAAAAAAGTACTTCCTCGTCGTCCCTCCTATGTCATTATAAACTCGTGGGTAAAAGAGCAATGGGCCTAACGATTCGATATTTTGGGCTTCGTTTTGTTCTTTTTTTTTTTAATACATTGGGGGATGTGTAGATACTCGCAGTTGGGCTTTCTTTCTTAGCCCTGCCCAAATTCTCCCCTCTCAACGAGACGGCCCACCGTACGATCATGTGTGTGAGGAACGACGTCGTTTAAAGTGACGAAAACCCTAGTTACCGCCTGCTATATAAATATATAGGCATCAAGCCACCTTGAGCTTGGCAAAATAGCAGAGTAGTCAGAATGCAGATCTTCGTCAAAACCCTTACCGGCAAGACCATCACGCTCGAAGTCGAATCGAGCGACACCATCGACAATGTCAAAGCCAAGATTCAGGACAAGGAAGGTAACCCATCTTGCTCATCTTTTTTTTTTTTTTTNNNTTTTTTTTTTTTTTCGTTTCAGCTGATCGGCCATTTTTCAGCTCCTTTCATGTTCATTTGGGAGTACGAAAGAAAAAAAAAAGCAATGAAGAAAGGATTTTTATTCGTTTTTTGAATAAGATTTGGTGAATTTGTTCTGTATTTCTGTTTCAGGGATCCCGCCGGACCAGCAGAGATTGATCTTCGCCGGAAAGCAGCTCGAAGATGGCCGGACCCTTGCTGATTACAACATCCAGAAAGGTATTGTGTTACTCCTATTTTTTAATGATTTGCTTTCTTCAGTAATCAGGATGCATGGTTCTTTCTTTATTTCGTTTGTTGTTAATGTTGATTGAATTGTTGTAGAGTCGACTTTGCATCTGGTTCTGAGGCTCAGGGGTGGCATCATTGAGCCCTCTCTCATGGCTTTAGCTAGGAAATTCAATCAGGAGAAGATGATTTGCCGCAAGTAAGCTCACAGGACTTGATGCCATTGTTGAATGCTGTTCTATTCTTTGCCCCATTGATTTCGTTTATTTGATCGTTGATGGGCTCATTTATTTTACAGTGTTGAACAAATAATGGATGGTGTCTGTTAATAGCTCTCTGTTATCAGTTATGTGATATATATGTTTGTCATCCCTTCAAGTTTATCTCTTTGTTGTACTTTACTTCATGAACAATATCTCTTGAAAAACAACACAACGTCTTGAAAATGGTAACTGGCCTGCTGATTGTTCTTTTTTATGTTAGACTTGTATATAAAGTTTCTATTGTTTGTGTTATATTCATCTTTATTGTTTTGCTGCCATATGAATTATGTTGATTCTTATCCAGTTGAAACATGTTGAAAAAAACAAGATGGTTTCCTTCAAATCTCATTATTTTGCTTTGTTTTTTTTTGGTTCCTGTTGTTCATACATTGACCTTGGTTCAAGGTTTATCAGTAATTCATCAAGTTCGACTTGCTTCTGTAATCTCGGTTCTTGACCCTGACCAAGGAAAAACCCAAATCATGCTTTGGTAGTAAATTTGAAACCTGGTTTGTTTTCAAATGTTCACGATAATCTACTTTGACACTGTGCATTATAATGTTGTACACTTGTTGAATTGCAGATGTTATGCTCGTCTGCACCCTCGTGCTGTCAACTGCAGGAAGAAGAAGTGTGGACACACCAACCAGGTTGTAAAATGTGGTGTCTGTTCATGTGCTTTTATTTGCTTCCCTATTTGTTCTGAATTGATCGATCGTGCTAATTATTCTTCTTGCTTGTGGTTGTGCAGCTGAGGCCTAAGAAGAAAATCAAGTAGACTGTTTTGTCTTGCAAGCAGTCCTGGCCTGGCTACATGCATGATGTTCTATCCAATTTTTATTTGCTTGTATTGTGGCCTATGGTGGACCATTTGTTATGTGTTGTACTCTAATACCAGTTGTGTGTTGTACTCTGGTACCAATTGTGTTTTTGTTTTGTATTTTGGCAATCCCAGAATTTTAAGTTATTTGGCAATCTGATACTGAAGGTAGCTTTTACGTAACATTTTAACTGATAGTGTTTGGTGGTCATGTTTTCAACTGAAATTGGCCTGGTTAATCTGGTCATGTGACCTGTGAATGCTGATTAAACAGGTTAAAACTGCTTGTTTTGGTTCGATTAAGTTTAGAGTTGTACATGAGTTTGGCTCGAGATCAACTTGACGAGCTCCTACATCTTCATATAGTCTACAAATAAGACCAACTGAACACGAAAAAACTCATTTTAAAACAAATTTGAAGAAGTAAATGTCATTTTTAGAATAACACGTTACAGCATATTCAATTGTGTGCACTGTCTTAGCTGATAAGATTTTCTGCTTTTAACATATATAAAGCTTAATTAAAACCCAAGGCTTAAGCAGAAAATATAGACCTCACAGTCTCAGCAGAACACAAAGCCATCAACAAAGTCCTTTTTCCTTTACAGCTTCTTTCATAGTCTCGAAAGACCTAACCAAATCATCGCATAGTTGACGAGGATTAGGGTACAGCGCCTCGTCAGCAGCTAAGACTATCACGAGCCGATCTGCGTAGCTCTGGTAATGTATCACCAGTCCCTGAACCAACAACATACGAAATAAAAAATATATATATATATAATCGAAAATATATATTCAAATTTCAAACACGCGTTAAAATTTCAATGTATATGTAAATGAATTTACCTGAGGATAACCAAAAACAGAAGGGGCAATATATGCCAAGGGATGACCAAACACATTGATCTCCTCTCGTGGGCCCACCACATTCGAGAAGGATAGCGTCGTGTTACGGAAAACTCTAGTCGACACGCCAGCCGCCACCTGCCAATCTATTTTTTTATTCCTTTTTTTCGTAAAGCAAAAGTTTCGAAACAATTTGAGTTTTACAACCTCAAGATACACGATTCGAACCGTGTTAAAAGTCCTTTTTAGACTCAATGGACAACAACACTCAAGTTAATTTGATTGTAACTTACTTTGCTTCCGAACAAAAACATCATTAGCTTCATGGCTCCAAACGCGACTTTGTGGCCGAGCGATAGTTTCTTTTTATCCATAGTCGATTTAGCCCTTCGTATGTGGGCTAAGGGATCGCTTTCAAGGGCAATGGTTAGAGGAAGCACAACAATGCCGACTAAATTGCCCCACATTCCCTTCAACAGCTTCTCCTTTTCCATCATCTCGGCCAAATTCTGCGTTTTTTTTTTTCTTCGTTCAGTTTTTCTCGGTTTTGGAAAAATCAAATAAAATGGATACTATAAAATTTGGTTACGAATATATAAATATTCACCTCGAGTTTTGCACACGGCCTGAGGTTGAAAATGCAAGCTGACCTAAGGCGGATGTTTTTGGGAAGAGAATCGGAACCTTTCTTGGTAATTTTCGTACCATTTTCGTCGTGTTTTTCTGCATCAGGAAATTGGGATGCATTATGAAGCGACGAAAATCACTTTTATTTTTTTTACTGTTTTTCATTGGGTTAATAGAGGAAAATTACCGTATCTCCTGTTGAGATAACTGGTGAGGCCAGCTTCCGTGACTCCAAGCACAACGTCGTTAATGCTCTTCATGAACAAACACAACAACAAAATTCATCAAAATTGTTTTACCAAAAGAAAGAGTTCTTAAAACCGATTAACAAAAAATTTATCAAAAAATTCACATAGATAGAATTAGCACCATTTAAATTCGCATACACAGAATTTGTAATGCATAATCGAAGCTTATCGCGCGCGAAAATATAGAATCCCTCGACTCATTTTTTCATATGAAAACAACATGAAGTAGAACTTTTTTGGCAATGCAAAATTCTTGAGACTGATAAGTAAGCAGCTACTTGATTTCCTATTCAACTTATTCTACTTCGTACTCATAACCATTGGATGACTGACACGTGTAATCATTCTAGTTAAGGAAAAACAAGAATAAAAAATCTCGTCGAACAAAATGAAAATAAAAACATAAAAATAAAAATCGACGTACCACATTCATAGCATTCTTGACGAGCTTAACATCGTCAAGGCTAATAACCCGACGCACGAATCTCCTCGGACACAACTCCACATTGCCGCTCGCTTTAATAACCGTCTTCGTATCTTTCAAAAACATAAGGGTCGCCAAAAACAACAACAAGTCGACTAAAGTGTTGAACAAAAGCAAAATCAATGTCCAAACCGAGACAAACAATCTCTTCATCAAACCATTTTTCGCGTCGACTTTTTCTTCGCGTGCTTTCTTATTTGCAACGGGCGGCAAATATTGGGATTCGGGTTTTTTCCGAGCACAAGCCATGACGAGCGAAATCAAGGACACACCATCGCCAATAGAGTGGTCGATTTTGAAGACCACAGTCGAATTCGCGTCCGAGTTTTTCACGTTGAGCACGTGAACCTCCCATAAAGGCTTGTCGTGGGTCATTTGGCTTTTCGAAAGGCTCGAAATGTAGTCGTCAATGAAATCGTCTGGGTTTTCCACGCCTGGATCGATTTTCGGGGCAATGATGTGTTTGTTTAAGTCTATTTTCGTACGTTGCCATGAAAATGTGCCAAACATTTTGTTCTTGGCGATCTAGTTATACAACAAACAAACAATATAAACAAACAATAGCAGATAATTGGGACATTTCATAACAGAAGTATGAAGTATGAGATTTGATAGTATATCTTTCTACGTATATATAGTCATGAACAAATACAAATACAAATACAAATTTTACGTACGTACATACCAGCAAACTACAAAAACGAGGATGTCTAGCTAGTGTTTGGCCTATTTCCTCCTTAAACAAGTCGAGATCGATCTTCGTCTTATAACCAAAGACGGCTAATATGCAGAGGTCGAAGCCCGGTGCCTGCATTAAGCGGGCTCCCGGGCTTGCGGGCTCTTTTACTTCTTCTTCTTTACACATTTTTCATCTCATGTATAGCTTTTTTTTTTTTT